TCAGAATTGCGTTCCTTTTAAAGGCTGCATAGTATTCCATCGTATGGATGGACCACACTTTGTTTATCCGTCATCTGTCGGTGGGCATTTGGGTTATTGTGATGCTGCTGCTGTGAGCACGGGGTACATACATCTACTTTCAATTCTCTCAGTGTTCCTGCTTTCAGTTCTTTTGAGTTTATACCCAAAAGTGGATTTGCTGGATCCTATAGTAATTCTATATTTAATTTTTTGAGGAACCTCCATACTGCTTTCCACGCAGCTGCACCATTTTAAGTTCCCACCAGCAGTGCACAGGCCTCCAGTTTCTCCACATCCTGGCCGACACTTGTTCCCTGGGTTGGTTTTGGTTTGTTTGGGTTTTAAGTGATGGCCATGATGATGACTGTGAGGGGAGCCTCTTCAGGCTGTGGACGAACATTCGATTGCTCTTTGTGAACGTTCCATGAGTCTGAAAAAAACACGGGCTGTGGTTTTTAGGATCTAGGTTTGGCATGAACCTGGTTTGTAACCTGCCAATCTGTTTTCTGTCTTTAGATAATCATAAAAACGTACACAGGGTTTTTTTCTCCTTGTCTGCACTTGGCCCTCGTATCGCATGGTGGAGCCCCCCGCCCGCGGCCGCCTGGGACTCCCTGACATGGGGGCATCGTGGCCGCGTGGCCCTGTGCCCTAGAGGTCAGCTCGTCTCCAGCCATTTGCAGGGGCTGCAACCGAAACAAACAGGCCAAGTCAGTGGCCTCAGCACCGGCTCCTCCAGGGACGGGTGTGGTTCATTGGGATGGATGTAGGGAGGGGCCGGCAGGGTGGGTGGGTGAGTGGATTCTGAATGCGCTTGAGTGTGACTGCGGCCCAACCCACTGGGAGCACACCCCCGACAGACTCCGGGGGCACCTTCCTGGGCTCCCCAGCAATAGACATGGTCGCATTTAAAACATCTCCAGGGCTTCCCCGGTGGCGCAGTGGTTAAGAATCCACCTGCCAGTGCACAGGACACGGGTTCAAGCCCTGGTCTGGGAAGATCCCACATGCCGTGGAGCAGCTAAGCCCATGTGCCACAGCTACTGAGCCTGTGCTCTAGAGCCCGCGGGCCACAACTACTGAGCCCCTGGGCCACAACTACTGAAGCCCACACACCTAGAGCCCGTGCTCCGCAACAAGAGAAGCCACTGCAATGAGAAGCCCACGCACCACAACAAAGAGTAGCTCCCGCTCGCCGCAACTAGAGAAAGCCTGTGCACAACAGCGAAGACCCAACACAGCCAAAAATAAATAAATAAAATAATTTTTTAAAAAAAATTTAAAAGAAACAACATCTCCAGTCAATGACCTTCTCACTGTTACTCTCCAGGTGTTTCCAGGACCCACAGCAGGGATGCCATTTCCCATCCGTAAGGCACCTGGATCAGATCTCCTCTGACATTTATTCTGCCACGTGAACCCTAACTTTATCTAAACCCCCAAAAAAGAAAAAAGAAAGACTCATTGGAGTTTCCGTTGGAAGCGTAACCCAGGTTGTGTACAATCGTATATTAACTTTGGAGGGACTGGCATCTTCATGACACTGAGCCAGCCCGTCAGGAAGCTCAAGAGTCTGTGCAAAGCCGTCACATTTAAGGAGATATTTTCTACGTGCAGGTGCTATAGGTCTCTTTGTTAAACGTATTCCGATTTTCTACATTTATAATTATCGTAAATGGACCATTGTTTTCATTTATGTTTCTAGCTTGTTGTTGATAGTATGAGGCAAATTTTAACCATTATTTATCTATAAATATTGCACTTAGTCATTCTGCCACATTCCATCATTGGTTCTGGTTGGTTTTCACTGGAGTGTCATGAGTTTTTTAGGTATATGGTCATGTCACCGGCAAAAGAGGTGGGTGCGGAGAGAGAATTTGATATCTCCTTTTATAGTGTAATACCCCTTAATTTTTCTCCTTATGAAATTCAGTAGACCCTCCAAAACAATTTTTTAAAAGTAATAATGAAGTTCCTAAACTTTCTCTTTTTCTTCTTTAAAATTAAAGGCTATAACTTTTCCTCCAGAAACAGTTTTAGCCGTGGATCCCAGCTTAGCCGCGGATCCCAGCTTAGCGGTGGATCCCAGTTTAGCCACATGGATCCCAGTTTAGACAGAAAGTGCTTATTTTTCTTTGCTTTCTAGAGTTTTTACAATTTCAGTTTTATTTCCCCTTCAACTTAAGGGTTAATCAGGGACATGTTTCTAAAACTCAAACTTGTAAAGTTATGGGTTTGGTCATCTTTTCATTACTTGGATCTGGCCGGGTGACGACCGGGGAAGACAGCCGGGTGATGACTGGGGAAGACGGCCTGTATCACACGTCTCATTGCTCGTTTGTTAGGGCTTTAGATCAGTTTGGGTGTGATGTGATTGACGCCGGGTGAGCACTGCCTGGGTAAAGTGCGTTTCCCTGGGTTCTGACTGTTGCACGGCCCCTTGGCAACCCGCAGCCCCCCACCTGCCCTGGGCCCCAGGCAACCCTGACGTGTTTGCGGTCGCCATACATGGATTTGCACTTCTGTTGACATAAGTGAAGTCATAGAATTTGTGCCTGGCTTTTTTCACTCAGCGTAAAGGTTTTGAGATTCCTCCACACTGCCGAGAGCATCAGTGCCCTCGGGTGGATGGACCAGCCTTCGTGTGTCCGTTCACCTCCTGACGGGCGTTGAGGGGCCTCTCTTTTGGGGCTGTTACAGATTGGGCTGCACATGCCGTTCCCACTGCGTCTCCATTTCTCTGGGTAGGTGCCGAGGAGTGGGACTGCGGTGGATGTGCATGTTGAATTATAGGAAACTGTCCAACTGCCGTCCCAAGCGGCTACACCCCCGCCGTCCTGCCGGCCACGGGCGAGGGTCCTGGGTCCCCCCCAGCTTCCGGGCACATGCTTGGTCTTTCTTATCGTAGACATCGTGTGGGCGCCTGGTGGTCCCGCTTTGTGAGTTCAGTTTGCACCCTAACGACCGAGCGTGTTGATCACTCTTTGTAAGAGCAGGCACGTCTTTTCAGGTCCTTACTTGCCACCTGTGTCTCTTCTCTGGTAAAACGTCTATTCAGAGCTTCTGTTTTTAAAATCAGGTGGTTTGTGTTCTTGTCCTTGAGTTCATTATGTATTCTGGATATGAGTTTATCAGACGTATGGTCTGCAAATATATTCTCACAGTCTTGCCTTTTCTTTCTTTTTTCTTTTAACAGTGTCTTTTGAAGAACAGAAGCTTTTTGTCGATGAAGTCCAATGTATCAGTTTTTCTTTTAAGGCTCATGCTTTTTGTCACCTGTGTAAGGAATCTTTGCCTAGGTCAAGGTCACCAAGATTTTCTTTTATGCTTTCTTCTAGAAGTTTTGTAATGTTAGCTTTTCCATTAGGTCTGTTACTGAGCTTTGTATAAGGTGTGAGGTTAGGGAAGACATTTATGAGTTTGTGCATTTGCGTAGGAATATCTCATTGTTTTAGTACCGCTTGTGAAAAGGCTATCCTTTCTTCACTGAATAATCTTTGCAACTTTGTCAAAAACTCACTTGACCATATATGGGTCTATTTCTGGACTGTCTATTCCATTCCATGGGTCCACATGTCACTTCTCCTGTCAGTACCATACTGTCTGGATTATATAGACCTTGGAAGCAAGCAGGGTAAGTCCTCTAAAGTTGTTCTCCTTTTGCAGAATTGTTTTGTCTATTCCAGGCCTTTTGCCATTTCCATATAAACTTTAGAGTGAGCCGGTAAATTCATTCAAAAAAGCCTATTTGCATTTTGTTTGGGATTGCACCGAATCCAGTGTTCGGGAAAACTGATCTCATAGCAGTGCTGAGCCCATGAACATGGTGTATCTGTCTATTTGTTTAGGTCGTTTCAGATTTCTCTCAACAATTCTATAGTCTTAGGTAAAACAGACTTGCACATCTATTAACAATATAGTCATAAATTTTTATGTTTTTGTCAGCATTGCTAATGGAATTGTTTTTATTTTTTATTACTTTTCTTTTTAATACATTTATTTATTTACTTACTTATTTTTGGCTGCGTTGGGTCTTCGCTGCTGTGCGCGGGCCCCCTCTAGTTGTGGTGAGCAGGGCCCGCTTTATTTTGGGGTCATATTCAGATTGATAATCAATAAAAATTTGTGGTGTTACGTGAGAGTCTAGTTTCATGCTTCTCACAAGGAGCTCAGTCACCCCAGGGAAATATGGCTCTCGTCTCCAGGGTTCTGAGGCCCTTCCTGTCACTGGCCACGTGTCCGAGCCCCGTGTCTGTGTGTCTGTGGGTCTACAGGCAGTCTGTCCACTCGGTCACTCTGCCTCCCTCCCCTGCAGAACTGCATGCTATGTCCCACGCATGGCGGCCCCTCCTGGCAGGAGGCTCACCTCCTCTGCTTCTCTCTGCGGTGTCTCCTGACCAGGGGCCTTTGCATTTCTTTATGCAACACTCTTCACTTGCCAATTGTCACAGAATTTCCTTTCTAGCTCTTTTTTTTTTTTTTTTAATTTATTTTTGGCTGTGTTGGGTCTTCGCTTCTGTGCGAGGGCTTTCTCCAGTTGTGGCAAGCGGGGGCCACTCTTCATCGTGGTGCGCAGGCCTCTCACTGTTGCGGCCCTCTTGTTGCGGAGCACAGGCTCCAGACGCGGAGGCTCAGTAGTTGTGGCTCACGGGCCCAGTTGCTCCGCGGCATGTGGGATCCTCCCAGACCAGGGCTCGAACCCGTGTCCCCTGCATTGGCAGGCGGATTCTCAACCACTGCGCCACCAGGGAAGCCCCCCTTTCTAGCTCTTGAGAGTCTGAGTGCGACTGCACAGATCTGTGACTCAGTTTGTGGAGAACAGACATTACATTACGGAGTCTCCCCATCCGTAAGCCTGACAATTATCTTTCTTTCTTTAGGTGTTTTTTAGCTTTTCATTAAATTTCATAATTTTTCCCATAGTTTTATTTCAAGTTTAAAAAGTAGTTTTCTCTTTTAAAAAATTGACTTTAGTCTAAATGCAACATGGTGCCCTGGATTGGATCCTGGAACAGAAAAGGACATTAGTGGAGAAGGTGGTGGCGTCTGAATACGGCCTGTGGTTTGGCCGATGGCAGAGTGTAGGTCATTTTCGCTTTGATGAACGTACCAGGGTCAACACGGGGTGATGCTGGCCACTGGCGCTCAGGAGCCCTTGGACTACCTGCGTGACTCTTCTGTAAACCTAAAATTATTTCCAAATGAAGTTATAGGGGTCAGCTTTAATTTACGTACTGTTTAAATAGACATCGTTTCCATCACGTATGAGGCAGCGTAATCGGATGCAGCGAAGGTGGTGAACGCTGAGAAGGGTTTTGACCACAGGGGCCACCAGTGCACACACGGAGTCCCAGGAAAACCTGCCTAGAAAGACCCTGGGTCGGGAGCAAGTAGGAGGAGGTTCGGGAATTCAGCGCAAGGAAGAACGGCAGGTGCGAAGGCCCTGAGGTAGGAACATCGCAACCCCTCACTCCACGTCGCCCCCCAGCAGGCCTGCAGAGAAATCTTAGCATCTTCATCTCCTACAGAGTCGGGGTGGGTATTACGTCAGGGAGGGAGGAGAACCTGGGGGCCGTGGACTGAAGGACGGCGCAGAGCTGCGGCAGGCGGAGGCCAGGGCAGGCCCGGGCCAGCTCCTGTCCACCATCCACAGGCCGGTGTGTGGGCAGACCCCGTCTCCTCCTGTGCGGGCACCCCGCGAACGCTGTTCTAGAAAGTTCTCCCTAGCTGTTGGGTTTCTGCGTAACCCGCACCCAAGTGTGGGACCTGCTCCAGGGTTAGAGAGGCGCCGCCACCTCATCTTGCGCTGAGGTCGTCCCCGGGGCTTTGACTGTCAAGGAGGGCTGGGACCCACCGCCCCTGCCCCGGCGCCCCCCTCCCCACTAGTCACGGCAAGGTGAGGCTCCGAGAAGAGCTAGGGCAGGGGTGGGGTCGGCCCCTGTGCCCACACCTCTACGTGGCCGGCACGGCCGGCTGCGGGACCCCCGCCTGGGATTCGGGAGGCTTGGGCTGCGGCTCTCGGTCCAGCCTTGGGCACCGCGTGGGGACGGTGCGGGGTCCGCGTGCGGAGGCGGGGTCGGGCGAAGGGCGGGGCCACGGGGGAGGGCCCGCAGCGTCGGTGACCATCTTGGTGCCGGGCGTCCACACCGCGGTCGAGTGAGCGTTGGTGCCCCGCCCTGGCCGTGGAGAGACCATCGGCCTCCAGAGTCCCCTCCGTGTGCTGGGGTAGCTCTCTGCCTCCGGGGGTCAGCCCGGCGCTCCAGTGGGGGCAGGGCCAGACCCCTGGTCTGGGGTGGGGCTCCTGGTGTGCAGAGCTCAGCACACAGCGGGTGCTCAGTAAACGCCTGTTGGACCACTAGGCCCAGAGCCACACAGCACGTTGGAGGAGCAGGTCTGGGGCCCCAGACCACCCAGGCAGGGAGGCCCCTCCAGCCCCCACCCCAGCCTCCACCCGCTTTCCCTCTGGGGAGAGAGATGGAGACGAGACTGGTTCACCCACCTCTGCCTTAAGATGCCAGTACTCTCCAGGGGGCAGAAGGAGCTATCGGTCACTCTCACTTCAGTGTGAACGAGCTTGTTCAAGGGGGGATTTGCGTAGAAGCTGGGCCGCCGGCCAGGGAGGCTGGGAAGGTTGCAGCTGCTCGCGGACTGGGGCTTGTCCCTGCTTGCCCCACCGCCCGCCGGGGACGGCGGCCCCAGAGGTGGGGAGATGCCAGCCCCTCATCCAGGGAGCGATGAGACAGTGTATCAGCAGCCCTGCTCATGACCAGTTTCCTTGAGCCACTGGCTTGAAATCTCCTTTGCAGAGTTCTGCAGATGTGGGTGGACACGGACGCGAGGCTCTAGGTTTTCTGTTAGCATCTGTAGCTGTGCCATCGGCCGAGCCCCATCCAGGCGGGCTCCCCGTCCCTGCAGTGACTGGTGGCAACTACCCTGCGACCCTGTAGTAGTTTCAGCAACTAGGAAGGCCCACGTGGTGCAGGCGTGGCCCGGCCCGACGGAGGTCTAGTTTTCAGCCCAGAGCACTCAACCAGAAGTTGCCCCCTTCCCACCAAGTGGTTCCCTCTGCCCACACGGGGCAGGGGTGTCACTCCCGAGGAACGGGCAGATGCGTCATTGGTGCAGGTGTCTCAGGGCAGGGAGTCTCTCCAGGTTCCGTGCTGCACGGACCTGTGTAGCCTCAGAACAGAACAGGAGTCCCTGCAGCGCTGAGGACAGCACAGTGGAGACTCCGAGAGAAGCGGGCAGGACAGAGCCGGGCCTCGAAGCCAGGGCGGGGAAGGGGGCACCCCTGGGTATGGGCGTAGAGGGGTGGTGGTGTCAGCAGCCACACACCCACCTCGCGGCTTGTTCCCGAGGCGTGGACTCAGCTAGCCTTGGGCCGCGCTTGGGAGGGACCATCACGGGATGAGAGGGCAGAGGCAGGACCTGCAGAGACCGGTGGCTGGAGAGGCGGGGGACAGGACGGCGGTCACAGGGCAGCAACCTGGCCCGGGGTCCACTCAGGAGCGTGGCTGGTTCCCAGGGGGTGTGCAGGGGTGACGGGGCACTGGCCTCACGCCTGTAGGCCATGTGTGGGTATGTGCTGGGCGCTTCTGGGGGACTGGCCACAGGGGCTGAGGTCGGCTGACCCGCAGCGCTAACGCCTGCACTCCCCTCCCCATGACGCCCGTGCATCCGGGTGCAGTGGGGCTGGGGCCACCGCGGGCCAGGACCACGCTCTGAGGCAGTAATTACGCATCTCTGTCCCGGGGGCCGAGCCAGAGAGGCATCCGAGGAGGTGTTTGTTGTCGCCTGTGAGTCAGGAGCTCGCGAGGAAAGTGCAGCTGGCGAGGCAGAGAAGTTATGGCCTTGGGGCTGCCACATGCAGCCGCCAGCAGCCCTGCACAGTGACCGAGAGCCCGCCAGACGCCTGTCGCCTGTCCCCGGCGCCTCAGCCCACACAGCCGTGCACTCAGCCACGCTGCCACGTTGGGGAGGCTGAGCCTCTGCTGCACTCGGGCCCGGAGAAGACGCACGCGCGCGCACACACACACGCACAGCTGCCCTCAGACACTGGCAGACACACACGCTCCACCCCAGGAGCTCACGCACACGCAGCCGCGGCCCAGAGGCCTGAGGCCGCCGCCCTGCTGGACGGGAGCGGGGCAGGGAGAGGGCGGGCCCGGCCTGACTGCCGCCTCCCTGTGCCCAGGGGCCACCAAGGACATGGGCAAGATGCTCGGGGGCGACGAGGAGAAGGACCCTGACGCCGCCAAGAAGGAGGAGGAGCGGCAGGAAGCGCTGCGGCAGGAGGAGGAGGAGCGCAAGGCCAAGTACGCCAAGATGGAGGCCGAGCGCGAGGTCATGCGCCAGGGCATCCGCGACAAGGTGCGCGCGCGAGGGGGGCGCGGTGCTGCCGCCGGGGGCCCCCTCGCCCCCCTCGCCCCCCTCCTCTGCAGCTCTAGAGCAGACCCTGGGGTGGTCCGGCGGGAGGGGCACAGGCCGCCGGGTTCACCGCACCCCAGGGTGCACGCCTGCCACACGGGCTCACCGGGACTGGGCTCACTCTGCGCGGCCCCGAGTCCTTCTTGGGCCTGACGGCAGGGACCCGCTCCCATGCTCCCGGGCTCCTCACACGGGGTCAACCCTAGCCCAGCTCCTCCTGTTGCCGACCCCAGGGCTGCCCCAGAGGACCCGGCGGGGGTCCGCCCGGAGGCAGGGGCAGCGCAGCGCAGTCAGGGGCTGGCCCACAGGCAGGCCCTGGGTCGGTGGGTCGTCATGGGCGGGGGAGGCACCTCACCACCCCTGGGTGGGCCTCAAGCAGGGTGTTGGGGGAGCGGACCTGCGAGCTGTGAGGTCTGGTTGGGGGCTGGCTGCAAGCTGGAGGCCACGACCTTTTCCAGAACCATCTGGGCGACCTTCCCCTGTGCGTGAGGGCAGTGAGAGCATCGTTCCAGGTGCGGAAACCGAGGCCCAGAGCAGGGGTGGGTGTATGAGGCTGAGTCGGCAGCTAGGCCACAGGTGGGCTGTGCCCCAGGGGCATGTCCACCGCCCAGCCTCAGTTGCCCATCCAGCGCCTGGGTCAGAAGGGCTGGAGAGGCCGGGAGAGGGCAAGTGTGGGGCAGCAGCTCTGGCCTTGTCCGGAGTGGGCTGGGCTGGGCGCCAGGTGGAGGACAGGAGCCCTCCCTAGGAGCCCAGGGCGTCCCTGAGCCATGTGGCCTCCCGAGGTCCACACCATCTCGGGGCTCGCCCGCCACCCTTGGCCCTGCACAGGCCAGGCCCCTCCGTCGAAGGCGCTCGATTGCAGCCACTGGGTCCTGGGGCCCAGGTGGGGAGCTCAGTTTGGGGGATGCTGCTTCGCTTGCTTCTGTCCTGGCCCCTCACCCCGACACCCCCGTCTCTGGGCCCGAGGGAAGCGTTCCCAGACATTGGGCATGAAATCTGTGGGTAGGGGGCCAGGTGGGGGCGGTGGGGGCCTCCTGAGGGCATCTCCACAGTCCCCAGCCCTAGGGGGACCAGCCAAGGTGCCCGGGCTTCGGGGCGGGACGGCTCAGGCCGCAGAGCCCTCCCACCTGCTTGGTGCCTCAGCACCTCAGCCTGATGCAGAAGCTGAGGTGGGGGCACAGGCGGGGCGCCTGCAGGTCTCTGAGCCCACAAGGGGTCCCCCACATTGATGGGGGCCACTCACCCTGATGTTCCCCCCACTGGTCACTGGGCACCTTTCCTGGGACCTGCAGAAAGTTCGAGTTGATTTTGCTGGGATGGCAGCTCGTGAGCCCCCCACCCCCAGGACCAACCCTGCTGCCGTCCTGACTTGAGGACTCAAGGCTTTTTGAGCTGTTTGCGGAAGAGCCAGGAAGTGCGCACCATGGATCAGACAGCAGAGACGGCCAGACCCCACTCAGGCTGTGCTGGGGGACATCAGCGTAGCCATCGGGAAATGGAGGACAGGGCTGGGGGGAGTCAGAGGATAGAGAGACAGAGATACAGACAGAAACAGAGAGAGACAGAGTGAGAGCCGCCCAGGCAGAGTATCTTCTGAGACGGGAGTAATGGGGGGTAGCCCCGAGGGTGGGACAGAGACCGAGAGATGGCGGGGAAGGATGGGGAGGTCCGTCTGTCCACTGTCCATCTCTGTTCAGCCAGCCTGCCAGCCATGGCTTGGCCCCAGGTGGACACCTAGTGGGGAATCCTGGGGGGTGAACTTATTCATCCCAGCCCTCGAGCCCCCAAAACAGGTCCCAGTGTGTGGCCAGGTCAGAGCCCCCTGGGGGTGTGGCGCTGTGGGCACGGCTTCCCCAGCCTCCCCCCTTGTGAGCCAGCTGCCCGGTGAGCCCTGCCCCAAGCCTCGGGAACTGTCCAGGAGCTCAGGTATGCATGTAGGTTGGGGCCAAGGCTCAGCCGGGTGGGGGTGGGGCAGGTGCTGACAGTGTGGGTTTCTGTGCATAACACACTCCGCTCGTTTTGCCTTTAATAGGAAAGGCCCTTCTGTCCCTCCTCTCTCCACACCCGCCAGTGGCCCCCATTTCTCCCAGGGCCCCAGCCCTACATGTGCGGTGACCTCTCCCCGCCCCCAACGGGGCTCCCACTGCCCCAGGGCCTTTGCATGGCTGACTGCTCCTCTCTGGAGCCCCCTGAGGCTCCTCCCCCCGCCCCCACTCCTTGCCTGTTTCATTTTACTCTGCACCTGCCTTCGCCTGTGGCGCTCATGCTTTTTACGTGTGAGCTGTTCGTTGTCCTGCCCTCACGGGGAGGACGGGAGCTCTGCCGGCCTGCACCTGGGCTGAGATGCTGAGCTAGCAGTGAGTGATGAGTGTGTGAGTGTGTGAGTGAGTGAATGAGTGTGTGTGTGAGTGATGAGTGAATGAGTGTGTGAGTGAGTGAGTGAGTGATGAGTGTGTGAGTGTGTGAGTGAGTGAATGAGTGTGTGAGTGAGTGATGAGTGAGTGAATGAGTGTGTGAGTGAGTGATGAGTGAGTGAATAGGCATCAGCTCCAGGGTCCTCTTCGTCCTCTGGGACATCTAGTGGGACTTAAAGGTCACAGAGTGAGTCCCAGTGGAAGTGGGGATGTGCCCCGCCCTGAGGGCAGCTGAGGGCCTGCGGCTCCATGTGAGGCCAGGGGGCAGGGTGACGCTCACCCACCCCCACCCCCAGCCAGGGACGGGCGATGGATCACGTGCTCCCCGTCCTCAGGACCCCAGCTTCCGGGGCGGCCACATGGAGGGCTGCACCCCTTGGCAGAGCCCCAGGGCCCTCCAGCCTGTGCCCCGTGGGTCCCCTGGGCAGGGGTCCTGCTTCCCCAGACGAGCACCCCGCCATCTGGGGCCCGCGTTGGGCGGGTGAGCGCCTTCGCTTCTGAACCGCCTGCACGGGCCCCGGGCTGCTTCTATAGCCCCCGCCAACCCCCAGACCCGCCGTGGCTCCACCAGCCGCAGCGGCAGGCCTCATCCCACCGGGCCCGGGCCTGCTTCCTGCGCACATCCGGGGTCTGATCTGGGCCGCCCAGGGGCCGGGGTGGTGTCCGCCGAGTCCAGTGGCCAGGGCAGGGGTCAGAGGCGGCCCCCGCCCCGCGCACTGGCTGGGCCCAGGTTTCCTCTCCTGCTGTCGGGGGTTTAGGCAGGACTAGTGCGCCAGGGCCCGTTCCTGGAGGGCGGCCTGCAGGAACGGTGTGGGGTGTGTTGGGGAGCACACAGACGCCTGCTGGGGCCCCCCGACCAGCACAGAGCTGAGTCTGCCGGGTGGGGGCCTTTCCTGGGTGACTGCAGAGCTAACCAAGGCGGTGGCCACTGGGCCAGGCCTGGGAGTGTGCAGGGAAGAGGGCGATGGTGAGCTGCCCCCACTCGTGGGTCAGAGGCAGCTCAGGACAGGCCTGCCACATTCTGGACGCTGGGGCCCCAGGAGCCCCAGGTGCCCCCTGGCGATGCAGGGTGCAGGCCAGAGCACATCCCTAGCCCCGGCTGTCCTGACTCTGAGGGGAGCTCAGCGCCTGGCGCCCCTGCCCACCGACCCCTCCCCCTCCCCACGCCCCCAGGCCCTGCCCCCGCGAAGTCCGCGGGACACCCGTGTCCTCAGAGACCTTCTCCACCCGGTGTGCTTAGGCAGCTCCCTGCTGCCCTCCTGCTCCCCACAGGTGGGAACCCTGGCCTTCAGGTGTGTCTACCCCAGTGGCCCTCGCTGGCCCCGGGGCTCCTGGTGCCGTGTCTGCCTACCCACCCCCAGACCTCAAGGCTAGTCAGAGAAGAGGGTGCAGAGCTGCATGGCACGGGATCCCATCGAGCTGCGCCGTACAGGGCCCCATCGGGTCGGGGCAGGGGCTCCATCAGATGGGGGCCGAGGGGCCAGGCCGGGGTCACGCGTCGTCCGGGCGCCCGGCTCCCCAGGCGACCTCGTCTGCATTCCGGACTTACCATCTGACGCGCCGGCAGGCGCTGAGCTGCGCGGGTCCAGGTTGGAGGGGAGGCGGGCCCACCTGCGTCATTTGCATACGTTCTTCCTGATTTGCATACCCACCTTCTGGTTTGCGCACGCACTGCCAGGTTTGGTGCTTCCTGCTGCCCACGTTCCGCAGCCTCGAGCCACAACCACCCTCAAGCCAGCGCCGAGCTGGTGGGTCCGAGTCGGTCCGGCCCCCACATCCCAGGTTTGTGCTGAGAGTAACAGGTGTGGGCACATACGGATTCCCACCGGTAAGGAGTACCGCATTGCCCAGGGTGCCGGCCGCCCTGGGCTCCCTCCCGGCCACGGGGTGTGCGGTGGGGCCCTGCCGTCTCAGTGGTTGGGGAGGATGGGGGGTGTCCAAACCGGCTCGCAGCCAGACCACATCAGAGCCAGGCTCTGGCGGCACCCCAGAGAGTAAGGTGGCCCTCATGTGTGCCCAGAGTGGCGTTAGCCTCGGAATGAGCCTCTGGAGCAGCTGGGTTGGGGCCTGGAGTCTCCTTCCTGGACCCTAGAGGGGAGGACCTGACACAGGTCCCTTCCCAACCCCGAGTCAGGGAGGCCCCTCTGCTCGACCACATACCGCATGTTCCCGCTCTTACGTGTGTGCCACTGTCACCCGCCCGTTCCGCCAGCACCGTGTGTTCCCCTGAGCATGTGCAGCTTTGCTGTGAGTGTGTGTGGGCTTCGGCCACCACAGCCCCCCGTGGTGAGGAGGTCGCGGCAGGTGTGGTGACCCGGGAGGAGGGCTGTGCTCCTAGGGCCAGTCCACCCGAGTGGCTGCAGTCTGGTCGGCTTGTCGCACTCTCCACCCTGAGCTGACCTGACGGTGCTCAGTGGGGAGGCCCTCTGGGTAGCGTGCCGCTGCTCAGAATATACTCTGGTGCCCTACGCCCCCCACCCCGCATGGAGACCCTCTCCCCGCTCCTGGCTCTTGTTCACGGTGCACAGGGGCCTTCAGGCTGCCTGGAGCCCCTGCTGAAGAAGGGTAGACAGACCCGTCATCCCTGCCGCCTCTGCCTGAGGGGACCCAGGCTGCGCTCTGGTCACCGGTGGGCCGAGAGCATGGCCTCCCTCTTCAGACTCTGCTGAACGTGGGCCTTGCCTCCGCCATGCCTGAAGCCATCCGCAGCCTCGAGGGAGGAGGTGGGTGCAGAGGTTTCCCTCAGTAAGCTGGGGAGTGGGACACAGCCAGCCCTCACCCCCCCAACCTGGAAACAGAGGGAAGGGTCTTCTTGGAGGGCCAGGGTGCCCTTCCCCCACACACACCCACACCTGCCACAAGCACCAGAAGCAGAGCCCACCGCTTCTTCCAGGAGGGGCTGGTGAGGAGAGATGGCCGGGCATGGGGGATCCTCCCCAGGGCCAGCAGTCCTGCACTGTGTGCTCCCCAGGAGGGTTCTGCCTGTCAGTAATGGATAATCCACCATCGCTGACACCCACACGTGCTCCCCAGTGCTTCCTCTTTACCTCATCAGTGCTTCTGCTCCCAGACATTCCCTAATGTGTGAGCCAGGACCGCAGACCTGGCCAAGGGGCACCCCTCTCCCCAGCCTGGGAGGGTCCTGAGCTCTGCCCCCCAGATGGGCGACCTGCCCCCCAACACACCAGGCCAGCTTGGTCCCACCAGGTTCCCAGCAGCCCTAAGGCAGGAGGCGTTTCCCTGGTCTCATGGCCGCAGGCGCACGCGCATCCGTGCTGTTCTTCCGGGAGGGCTGGTGAGGACGCTGATGGGCCTGGCGGAGGGGGGGTTCGTCTCCTAGAAACTTACTTCCTCAGTTCTGGAGGCTAGAAGCCCAAAATCAAGGTGTCAGCAGGGCTGTGCTCCCTCTGAAACCTGAGGAGGAGAATTCATCTCTCTTCTGGTTTCTGGGGGCTTCCGGCAATGCATGTGTCCTTGGCTTGTGACAACGTCGTTCCGAACCCTTTCTCCGTTTTCACCTACTCTGCGCATCCTTTTCTTTCTCTTACAGGGAAACTCTCTTTGGATTTAGGGCCCAGGAAGAGCTCATCTCTATTCTTACCTAATTATATCTGCAAAGACCCTATTTCCAAATAAGGTCACATTCTGAGGTTCCAGGTGACATGAATTTTGGGGGGACACCATTCAATCCACTGATGAGAGGAGATGTGGGAGAGGGCTCAGGGCAGAGACACACGCAGGAAACCAGAATTGGGGGCGCTCAGCAGTGCCCAGGGGTGTTGCTGAGGTCACACCTAGATGGGGTTCCAGGACATCCACCTGGAAGTGACCGCCGGACACGGAGCATGCAGAGTGACCCCCCAGGGACTGGGGTCTGGGTGGCATCCGGGGGTACTTGGCCAGGCAGGAGGGTGTGGCCACATGTCGCTGGACCGAGGATCTGGGCTGCGTGGGGCCCGCCACCCACAGAACACCGGCTTCTCCACCGCTGTGGGCAGGCGTTCTGCCCCGGCTCCCTCCGCTCCGGGACCGCAGCCCAAGGCGGGCTGAGGACTGCGCCCGCTTCCCCGGAAGGCGGGACCGCGGGGGGCGGGGCCACGGCCAGCGCCCCGCCCCCACGGAGAACCGCGACTTTCGTCCTCCCCCCCCCCCCCCCCCCTCTCCCGCGGGTCCACCGTCAGCGGGGTCCCCCGTCCAGGCTCCCGCCGTCGCCCCCGCCCCTCCCGGCAGCCTCCGGGGTGGGGACCGCCCCTGCCGGGGCTCTTGGTGGTCGTCCGCTCCCGCACACGCCTTTCTCAGCCGCAGGTGCTGCCTCCAGAGGCCCCTCGGCCGATCCCGCCAGCGCAGGGTGGGTCTAGCCCGCCCGGGTCCCGAGAGCGCCCCTCCCGGGGCTGGGACCCGGGGCCGGGACCTGCCCGCCTGAGCCCGCCCGCCCTGTCCCCCGCAGTACGGCATCAAGAAGAAGGAGGAACGCGAGGCCGAGGCCCAGGCCGCCATGGAGGCCAGCGCGGAGGGCAGCCTGACGCGGCCCAAGAAGGCCATCCCGCCGGGCTGCGGGGACGAGCCGGAGGCAGAGGAGGAGAGCATCCTGGACACGGTCATCAAGTACCTGCCCGGGCCGCTGCAGGACATATTCAAGAAGTAACGCCCCTGGAGCTGGACAGGAGCCCGGAGCCCCGCCCCCTCGCCCACCCCCGTCCTGCCCTCCGCGGAGGCGCCTGAAGGGATGTCGGGAGCAGAGTGCAGCCCCCCAACGCCAATATAAGCCATAGCCCTAGGTCTATCCGCCTGCCTGGCCCCTTCAAGCCTGGGGAGCCTCCGCCCGCCTCTCACCCCATCCCCGCACCGCGATCGCCACCGCCTCCGAGGGAGGGGCGCCCGGCCCCCCCACGGCCCCCGCGGTCCGGGCTGCAGGCCCCGGGGACTAGCCCACGGGCTCCTCCGGCAGCGGGTGGATTGGACCTGCCCCAGAGCCTGGGAAGCCCCTTCTCGCTCCTCCCTTCACCGCCCACCCAGCAGGGCCCGTGGCCAGGGACACCAAAAGGGCCGGCCCTGTGTTGGTGGGCGCCTGTCGGGCTCACACTCGGAAGCACAGCCATAGTACGGGGCGCGGTCGTGAGGCCGGGGTGGGGGCTGGGAGGGGCGAGCAGCTGGCGCCTGGGGCTCAACCCCCGGGGTCAGCCTGGACCCCAAGCCCTACCCCGCACCGACGCCCGGGTTGCTGAATCTGCCGTCCACCGCTCCCCATCTGCACCCCTTCCCTTCTTCGTCCACCTGTGTCTGTCCTCCGGCCCCCTCCTCGGGAAGGCTTTGCTTCTTAGGACTGCTGTGGCCCGTTCTCCTCTCCACGAAGGGAGAGAAAGCGATAGGCTTAGGGGGACACTCTCAGACCCCCGTCCTTCACACACCCCTGTCGCTCAAGCTCTTCGGCGTCCGTGAGCAGCCCAGCTGAGCCCGGCACACTCCCCTCCCTGGTTGGCACCTCCTGTACCCTCCGAGGCTGCTCGGGGGACACCCTGCCCTCACCCTCCGAACACCCACACCTTCACCCAGAACCGGGGAGGAGGCCCAGAGCCCTGTGGGCCGAGCGCTGTGCACCGGCAGGAGGGTGTGGCGCGGAAGGCCGGCCCCGCTCCCTGCAGGCCCTCGAGGGGGTCGTCCCAGCCGCAGAGCCCGCCCGGTTGGACGGAAACGACCGCGGACCTCCCAGCTCCCCCGTGGCCTCTGCCCTTGTGTAATTTGCATCACAATATGTCGAATCTCAGGTAAATGAGGTCTTCTGTGTTTGAGGAGTTTTATCTCGACAGAAAGCCCATCACCTCGGTCCCTGGGGCCCTTTCTGTCCACATCTAAAGTTCATCGTGTCCAGTGTTGCGGGCCCGGGGCGCGGCCCTCCCCAGCTCCTTAGAGAAGCCATAACGACTAGACGGCAATACCGACCCCTGGCGCCCACCCCCACCATCCCCCGTCGTCCGCGCTGCGCCCCGACACCTCCCGGTTCCTCGTCTTTTTTAAACGCCTGTTTTCACACTTTAAAAAGCCAGCTCTGAGCAGACAGGGCGTCGTCTCGTAGAAACCCCGCATCCTGTCCCCAGCGCGTGGGGCGCCCAAGCAGCCGAGCTTAGTGTAGACCGTGGATGTCCTCTGTCCGTCTGTCCCGGCGCCTGCGCTTCCTCCTGCATGTCGGGGGCAGCTGCGTGTGTTCTCTCTGGATGGAATCACAGCCAATAAACACCACAGTGATTTAATGTGTGTGGCCATTCCCTCCGGAGCCCTGATTTCCCTGGGAGGCGATGGGGATGGAGGGTGCAGCCGGGGTCATGGCGGGAGGGCCGGGATGCACACCCTTTGGGCCCTGTTGGACGACCCCCACTAACCCCTGCACCCGGCCAGATGGGAACACCTTCCCCTTTTGCTGGGGCCGCTGCAGGGGCTCCCCGCCGCCCTTTCTCCCTAAGGAAGTCCCGGCCAGAGCCATCTCCCCTTGAAATGCAGCCCGGCCCCTTCCTCAGCGCCCCCTCCCCCCAAGTCTCCCACCTGCAGCACGGGCCCCATCCCTGGCCTTTCCTGCCCCACAGCTATACCGGGCCCTGGGGCCCAGGTCCCACTGTGCTGGCCACACCTTGGGCCCAGCGGGGAGCTGAGGCTCAGCCTTGGGGTCCTGCCCATCGTTGGTCTGGTGGTACCATCCCTCCTCCCTGTGCCCTCAGGGAGGCATCTGTGTCCCACACCTGCCTGACGAGGCTGAGGCCTAACGAGGTGCCCGTGGGACCTGCTGGCTCTGAAGCCTGGCCCGGGGTACCCCGACCCCACCCCGAGATGCCACGGCCACGTGTGTCCCCAGAAAGGCCTTGTTTGACCTCCATTTCTGGGGGCCTCTCTCCAGGAAAGTGGTATCTGTGACCTTCCTCACACTGCTGGCTGAGAACGCCCGGGAGCCTTCCAGCAGAACCTGCCCAGTCTCAGGAAACAGAAAGGACACCCTTGTCCCCTTCCCCACCCCCATTCCTCTTCCCCTCCCCACCGAGCTGTGCGCAGAATACTGCCCTGGACCCATTGCCCCTTTGCCTCTGCCTCGGAACTCGGACAGAAGCCTGTGTAGCCAACTCTGGCTTTGGGATCTGTGAGCCACCGCCCCCAGCATAGCTCCTCTCAGGAGGGCACCCCAAGCAGGCCCCATCATCAGTCCCCACCCCCAGCCTGGCCTGGACTCATCTCAGTCTTGAGCAATGAGCCAGGTGTGCCGGTGACCTGGATCGCCTTCCCTTGGGACCCCAGCCAGCCCTTCCTCAGTGCCTGGTGGGGCAGACCCCTTGGGTGCCAGGTCCCAGGACTCCAGGGAGAGGCACTCGCTCACTTCAGGCTTGCTGAGCCCCCGTGCTGTGCAGAGCTTTGTTCTAGGCACCGGGTGTAATTGAGGTCCCTTCCTCCCGGGACTGATTGCTCCAGTGGCCAGATGATAAACACATAATAAGTCAGGTGGTGGTTTCTTCCGTGTAGGAAACTGAGCAGGATAAGGTGGCAGAGAGGATGGTAGGGTAGCTGTTTCACCCCCGAGGAGGTGACATGCGCAGACAGGCCCCAACGAAGAAAGGAGGGAGCCCCGTGGGCCTCTGGTGGGAGCGCATTCCAGGCAGGGAACAGCAGCGCCAGGGCCCTGAGGCAGGAGCCCGCTGGGCACTTCAGAGTGGCACTAGGGCTCCGCCGACCGTGCCCTTGCCCCTGGGCTGGCTTTAGGACCACACTGCCTCTTCACAGGGTCTCCTTCCTTTCAGAAGTTAACTCTATTTTGACAAAGCAGAGCCCGCTTTGATACTCGGCCCCCCAGAGACGTCCTGCACTGCGCAGCAGGCGGGTCCTCGCCCTGGTCCCTGTGGGCAGCCAGCCCGGGGCAGCACTCTGCCTGGGTTTGTTGTCTCTCCTCTCAGGCGCCCTGCACTCGCCCAGCTGTACGATCACCAGCCACTTAACCATCAAGGCTGTCACGACACATTTTTAAAGATCTGGCAATAAAGGGCCATCTTGTCTAGTTGTGCTAATCTGCAGCTAGACAATCCTGCCGTCCACAATCGCAGCCAGCGGGGCTCGGTGAACCCTGGGTCTGGGCCACCTGTCCACACAACTGAGAACCTGCTCCACTCCTGCCTCAGCCGGTTCCCGTCAGGTCCGAAGGGAGGGGTAGCGTCTCGGGTGAAGGGTGGGTCTCTTGGAGCCGGGCTCGCGCTCGGGCCGAGGGGCGGGGTTGAGGAAGTCGAACTGGGGAGCTTGGCTTGGACAGGACTGGGGCGGGGGTGGGAATCAGGCTGGGGGGCGGGACCTGGGGCGGGATCGGAGACGGGATTGGGGGGGCGGGCTGGGCCGGGACTGGAGGCGGGGTTTGAGGGGGAGCTCAAGCCGGGGGGCTCGGCTGGGGGCGGGATCGGAGGCGGGATGCGGGAAGCCAGGATGAGAGGCCGAGCTGGAGGCGGGACTGGGGATTGGCTCGGGCTGCTGCAATGCCTGCCAGTGTCGGTCAACATCTACGTGGCCCGGAGGATGGAAGGGCCTCAAGGCAGGACCCAGCCCAGTGCCACTAGACCTGGGCGCTGAGTCGAGGCGTCGGGGCCACGCGCGGACCCCTGGCGTCCCCCGCCCCCGTCCCGGCCCCGCCCCCGCCCTGGACGGCCTGAGCCAATCAGCGCGTGCCGGATCAGGCCGCTGCGATTGGCTCCGAGAGGGTCACGTGGCAGAAGCCTGTTTAATCGGAGCCCGGGAGACGCCAAAGCAGGAGGGGTGGTTCGCGGCAGGTCTGGGACTGTCATCGGGCTCGATACCCGAGTGTCGTCCCTGTTGCCCCCCCACCCCACCCCGCGCGTCCTCCGAGCCCTCCCCGGGCCAGGCTGAGCTGCGGCAAAAAGGGGAACGCCCGTGTCCCAGAGGACCGCCAGCTGGGGTGGAGGGCAGCGAGGTCCAGGCGGGGCACTGACCCAGTGCTTACGAGGCCCCGCGCTGGAGAGGAGACGCGCCCAGCCTGGTGCGCACAGCTTGTCCTGGGACAGACAGCAGAGGGTTGCCACCCTCGCCCGGGGAGCTGAAGCCAGCTCCCGGTGGGGTCATCCCTCCCGCCCAGCGGCCCTGCCCCCAGACTGGCCCCCCGAGGTGAGGCGGTGAGGGTGTGAGGCCCGGGTGGTCCCAAGCTGGCTCAGCAGAGGTTTCTGCCTGTCTAAGGACAGAGCTGGGGGGACCACACAGTGGTCCCTGCGGCACCGTGGGAGCTGGAGCTGAGGAGGGGGCTCGGGGGTGGAGGAGGCTCCAGCGGCAGTGCTGGCCGGTAGTGGGTCTTCACTCTGCTGCCAGAGGCTTGGGGAAGAACCAGAGTCCTGGGCACCCAGAATCCTTCACTATCACATCGCTTGTCCCTGAGGGTGGGGCCTGGCTGTGCCCCAGGGTCTCCACTCAGGGCCGAGCACCAGCCCCCAGGCCCCAGTGGTGCCCAGGGTGACACTTTCGCTGACACTGAAGCCTCCACCAGGTGGGAGAAGCTATGCATGCCACCCACAAGCACGCAGACTCCAGGTCAGTTAGAACCAGAGGCTGATGGTGTTGCCTCCCAGTTACCTCACCACCAACCAATCAGAAGAATGTCCACCCGCTGAGCAGGAACCCGACAATGCCCCCTCGATCACCCTGTCTTCAAAAACCCTTCCCTGAAAGCCATCAGCGAGTTTGAGTCTTCCGAGCACCAGCTGCCCTGGACTCCTTGCCTGGCGCCTGCAACGAGCGCTGCGCACTCCTTCACCACGGCCTGCTGTCGGTAGACGGGCTTTACTGTGTGCAGGCGAGTGGACCCAGTTTGGCTCCTTAATAATACCCTGGAGCAGAAAAAGGACATCAAGTAAAACAACTAAAGGCATCTGAGCACAGAATGGACGTTAGTTAATGCAAATGTACCAGTGTCGGTTCATTCATTGTGACAAGACGTTAAGAGGAGGGGAGACTGGGGGCGGCGTGTGGGGAACACGCCACACTATCTTCATAATTTTCCTGGAAATCTAAAACTGTTGTAAAAGTTTACTGAAAAAGGCATAATGCAATTCAGTTAACATTAAAACCAGCCCCTGAATGAAAGACCGACCCAGGAGAGGGAAGCGCGGGTTCAGCCCCGAGCCAGCTCACGCGCCCGCACAGCCTGAACCCACAGTGCAGTCCTGGCTCCTTCCCGGCTCTGGATGACGCCCCCTGGCCCCGCCCCGTGGGGTGAACCAGGCCGGGTGGCCTGACACCGTCCTGGTCCAGCACAGGTTCGCCTGATTGGCCTGGCCCCTGCCAACCTCTCAGGCCACTGAGGTGTGCAGGGTCCTGGAAAGCCCAGCAGCCCTCCTTCC